AACTGTAGTAGTAACTCCTGTAGAAGTTGGACCCTGATGCTATGGTAGTTATGGTAAATTGAAATATCGTTAAATTCAAAACTAATGGTAATTGTAACTTTTTATAGAAAAAAAAAATAGGTTAACCGGATATTTACTAATCTGTAGTAATCTAAGGATCCTAATAGATTATCTCAAAAGGAAAAATACTGCTTGTAAAAGAAAGCTTATTTGATAGATTTACCACATTTTTGTGCATTACACAATGTTTCATAACAGCCATTAATTATATAGGTTAAATTTTCCTGAAGTGAAAATAAAAATATACCATTCAAGTTTTAGAAATGAAGAAAAAATTCTTCGTTTCTGTCCATCTGATAAAAAAAATCTACTTATCACCTTTAGTTACATTTAATTGTATAAATTTTATCGAATTCCATACTCTACTTTTGTTTACGCATGCGGAAATGAAATAATATATTTCTATATTAATAAGAATGTATTATTCTACATTAAAAACTATTATGTGTTGGGATCCCCTGTAACTATTATGTGGTATGAAAGGTTATTGTACAATCAGTTAAGGTCAGCATTAAAAATTGAGGATATGGGTACAGCACATAAGCATTCTCGTCTCAGAAATAGTGTCGGTCTGAACCCGACTTGGAAACTACTTTTATTTTGTAACGGCATTGTGGATAAATATTTGATCCTTCCCAATCAGATTTGAATAGACGGAGGGGGACTCTAGGATAACTTATCCTTCCTGTCTCCTTGCTGGGTAGGTGTGGGAAGCACCATGAATATAGAAGAATAGAAACCTTACTGTTATTTACTTTTAAGAGTGAGTTTATCCACTAGCTACAGTTATTTTGTTTCTTTCCTGAACTAAAATAAAAATCCTTTGATCCTATCTTAACCTGTTGATTTGGCATGGATGAGATAACGAACGCTCAGCTTTAACTGCCAATATTTTGTTCAAAGAATTGACCGTCATTATGTCGGTTGTTAATTGTCCATTTTTTACTAAAATATATATTAAAATAATTGAAAATCATTTTTCCAAAAGCCTCTTCCAATCTATTTGACAAAGTGCCACTATCGGATCCAGGATTTAATTTTGGGATTGGCTTCAGCCCGAAAGATTTTTTTTTCATATACATATAACGATAATTAATTTGAAAAAAAATAATGAAATTAATTACCGATATGAAATGGTGTTTAAGTAGTTCTTGAAGTCTTATTAAATACAATTACACGAACAAGAATACTTTAAGACATAGTTTTTAATACTTTTTTCTGTAAAACGTGGTTATATTTTACCATTTTGGGGGGAGGGGGGAGCTTCAGCCCGAAAGCCCCCCACCCGTAGATCCGCCTATGCAAAGTGCTGTCCACGTGCCAAATTCGCTGAATAGCATTCGAAATTTATGTTTAAAAAAATGGACCATATTTATGTTTAAATAAAAACAAAAAATAAGTACATTAAGTTTATTGGCTTTATAATATTAAATCCAATGTGAAGATGTATTTATTTTAATCTTATTAATATATTATGAAAGTTTACTAATAAGAAACAAAAAATATATTATTGTAATGATTTAATTACGGTTTTTTTATGATTATAAAGTAGTAACCAAGGTTGGGAAAATTCATTTCGAAATGCACCTTTCTTCTTATATCCTCAATCGAGGAAACAACCAGACTAAAAAGAATTTGCGTACGTGTGGTAAGCTGCAGGTCCAGTCTACTTTAACCACACAAGAAGAGGAACCGATTGTGGGTCCAAAAACAAAACAGAAATAGCTTGTACATTGCTTTTATTGCACGGATGAGATGCTGTGTACTTATCCATAACATCCCAATACTAAAAGAGAGGTTAATAAGTAAATAAAAGACAGAAGGATCTTTTTTAATCCTGCTTTTGGATTATACGTATCTTGAAAAGAAATTTTTCGAAGAGCGAAATTTTTAGGTGGAGACTTTATTTTTTTTTTCAGAGATTCATTATTAAAAATAATAAACCAAAAATTGATTTGGTATAATTACATCATCTTAAGTACAGGAAAATGACTGAGTCTTGCACTAAATCCACTAGAGCACCAATGTATGGGGGCAGATATACCAATTGAGCTTACGCGTGTGTAAACCAAGCGTTGCCTCGCAATCTGAAAAACCGAAGATAACAAGTTCCTGTTTATCCCTTACCTCCTGGTCAGAGAAAAACTTCGTACACCCGAAAAAGCGAGAAAAATAAAGGAAAATAATGCCTATCTTACTACCATTAAAACATTGAACGTTTAATATTTAAAACTTAATTTCTATTTATTTTTAGAATATTTTGGATACTTTTGTTGAACAACGAACCGTCACTTAAATCTATACTCCATCATCTTTCCCTTGCTAATGATAATGATTGATATATATATATAATTACCTCACTGATAATGAATAGAATCATTATAGTTACCAGATAGTCACCATTATTACTTGCCAATGAATAATGAAAGAGCCGTTGATAAATTCATGACTAACCCAGTTCAGAATTCAATGCGTGATAAATGGGCAATTAATCAAAATCATTAATGGAGAAATATACTGGAATAAACTGGTAGCACTGATTGAAGCTAGAAGTGTCATATTAGCTTAATAACACTTAATAACAAACTCATTGAAATCAATAGACAGAAAAACAGAACTAGCTAGATCATAATAAATAGCTAAATGGGGGAGGGAGATGTTTTTCATTTCAAAATTTATAAGAAACAGGCATTCCATCATTTCACTGTTCAGTTAAAATCTCCTTTAAAATCAATAACATACCAATTAAATCACAGGTGCAGAACAATATTGATGAACTTCCATCAACCTGGTAAGCATTTATGCTAGTAAATATTCCCATTGTCACTTTAAATAAAGCTTAGGGAGAAACTGTTAAACATATTTTAGTCGACTTAAAAGGAAGGACTAAAATCATTATTTATGCTGAAGTATGGTGAGTATAAAATATTTTCCTTAAAAAATTAAAAGAAACTATATTTTTACGATAAAAAAAAAACTTCATCAGTTTAAAGCGAATAAACTCAAAGACACTGTAGTTACTCTGTAGTTACATTTTGTTTTTATTGATAGGCCCATTTGTTTTTAAACATAAATTTTGGATGCTATTCTGTTAATTTGGCACTTGGACAGTACCTGGTCAAATAGATTCCAAGAGGCTATTAAAAAAATTATTTTCATATGTATTTTCCGTTCTTATTTTAGTAAGCAATGAACAATTGACGTCCGACAAAACGACGGTCAATTCTTTGAACAAAATATTGGCAGTTAAAGCTGAGCGTTCGTTATCTCATCCATGCCAAATCAACAGGTTAAGATAGGATCAAAGGATTTTTATTTTAGTCCAGGAAAAAAACAAAATAACTGTAGCTAGTGGATAAGCTCACCCTTAGAAATAAATAACAGTATGGTTTCTGTTCTTCTTTATTCATGGTGTTTCCCACATCTACTCTAGCAAGGACAGGAATTATAAGTTATCCTAGAGTTCCCCGTCCGTCTATTCAAATCTGATGGGGAAGGATCAGATATTTATCCACAATTCCGTTATAAAATAAAAGTAGTTTCCAAGTCGGGCTCGGACCGACACTATTTCGGAGAATGCTGATGTGCTGTCCTCATGTCCTCAATTTTTAATGCTGACCTTAACTGATTGTACAATAACCTTTCATACCACCACTATTAGTGTTGATCCTAACACATAATTATTTTTAATATAGAATAATACACTCCGCATGCGTAAACAAAAGTAGTGTATGGAATTCGATAAAATCGATAAAATTAAATGTAATTAAAGGTGATAAGTAGATTTTCTATCACATGAACAGAAAAGAAGAAAACAATTTTCTTCACTTCTAAAACGTGAATGGTATATTTTTTATTTTCACTTCTTGCAGGAAAATAAATCTTCTCTACCTTTAGAAGCGAGGAAGCAAAAAATGAAAAATTCCGCAAATCAATTCAACAATAAAAAAGACATTAATTTAGGCACAAATTGAATCTGAAATTATTTAAATTTAAACTACATTTCCTTCAGACGTTTCACCGATATATTATATTCATTTCGAAAAATTTAATAATAAGAAAATGTATTTTTAGCTCTCAAAACTTCTCTTGGATAAGGTGCGACGTTTCACTAGTAATCGTTTTCAAATGATTGTTGGCGTAAGAATAGCTGTATCTACCGCGTAAATTGGCAAGCAACCTGAAACTGCGATAGTTCTACCAACACAGCAAATTTCATAGTTTCACACAGTTTAGACGATGCAATGCAGCTCTATCGCTGCAACTATCGCGAAACTGCCATCGTGAGTTAACGAATCGGAGGCAGTGAAGACTTTATAAGTAATGCTTTTATTCATAATGTCAGTTACAAATGGCATCTAACATACAGAGTAATATACTATGGATATATGGTTTGACTACACGAGTTCACTCCAGGTCTCCTACAGTGGAGAGCGTGACTTCAAGAATGTAACTGCATGAGTAATTTGGTCTGAGGAGCATGGGGTTTATATACCCAAGAATAGCAAGGAGGTGAAGGGAAGTCGGAAGAGGAAGTTATCGATAGTTAATATTCTTAAGATGAGGTCTGTGAGAAAGTGCCCTTTTGCTGAAATCGGTTATTGTTCCCTAAGTCTTGATAATGTGTCTTCTGTCTAGTCAGTACATTCTAGATAACTATTTCTAAGCTATCAGAGATAGCTTGACCTGGCTACCTAGGGATGCTTTGTTCTTTTACCCTTTGAGCCATGTGAAACGAAAATATATGCATGATTCACCAATTGTAATTTACCAATTATTTAACAAAATAAAAGTTTAATTAATATTATTATTACTATTTGTTACGGATTAAGTCCATTCCGTAACTGTGGAAATTAACCTTGATACGATTTTTGTGATAGAAATCATCGTAAGGATATAACACTGTCTCACAAAGAACATTGTAATATTTGAGTACTTACCAGCAAGCGGAGCACCAATGAGAGTGCCAACACCTTGGCAGAGGAGGGTGAGGCCGTAGGCGGTGGTGAACCTGTCGAGGGGGACCATCTCGACGAGGATGGTCGGGGTGAAGGAGAAGTTGGAAGAGACGAAGAGGCCGAAGAAGGAGGCAGCTGTGACGAGAGCGATGGGGTAAGGCACGGCGGCGGGCATCAGCAGGGTCGCGAGGCCGGTGCCCAGCAGGCATCCGCAGTACGTCTTCGTCACGTTCATCCACGGCCGGTCGCCGAACCAGCCCATTGCGATCTGCAGAGATAATCAATAATAAAGCAGAGATAAAAGATCATAATCAATTTCAATAGTATAAGTTAACAATATCAATAAACCAGAAAAGAAGCAGAAGGTATTCTCGTGGAGCCACTAATACAGACGTTATCATGTCTTATTAGACTTTTAAAACTATATTGCAACTAGTGTTGCCCAAATGCGAGACCGAGACGAGTCTTGGTCTTGCAAACTCAGTCTTGGTCAAGGTCTTGGTCTTGCGCAAGACTCCAGCAACAGTCTTGCAGTTACTTATTAGCTTATTACTATAGAGATATTACTGTAACTTTTTAAGATAAAAGAAACTTAACTAAGCCCGAATGAAAAATTGGAGGAGTTTAATACAAAAGTATATTGGTTTTACCAATTATTAACATATAATAACTAGGATTGTCAAGTATTAGTAACTATTCTGCCTCAATTTTTATTAAAATGATCGATTTTTTTTACCAGTCCTGGTCTTGGTCTTGCAACAGTTAGCCGCCCTTGGTCTTGGTCTGGCGAAGTGCAAGATCAAGACCGTTTTTGGGCAACACTAATTGCAACACATGAAAGGTCATGGGTTCAGTACTTGGTAAGAAAGTATAGATGATTTGGCTGACAAGACGCTCAACCGCCAGGTTTTCCTTCTTACTTATTTATTTAATTAAAGGCGTCTACTTTATAGAGGCTGGGTGTACTCGAGGAAGGTGTCCCGACCCCAGGGTCAATCCACGGCCGGCGAAGCAGAATAAATAATTTATCTGCCATCATCCGGATGCGAACCTGGGACCTTGAGCATTGGGAATCAGCGTCTTACCACTGAGCTACCCTACTGCCCCCAAAGTTCTCTTTCCCAAAAATAGGCGCCGGCATTTGAGAAATATTGGGGGCCAAGGTTAGCAGTGCCGGTTTAGCCGGTTTGTTCGGCACCTCCGGACAATATGGCATATAAATTGTAATATTTGAATAGTAATTCATTGAAAATGTCTCTAATTCAGTTAGCTAATATTACTTATTCACATAAGCTTTGTATTTTTTCTCCAATAAGTGACGAACGTCCCACAGCATATAGCTGGGTTACCCAGCCGTATTACCGGTAGTGAAATTTAGTGTAAAAAGATAACAGTGTTCAATGCTTGGGAGGGAGGAGAGGTGATAGAATGCCATGAATACAGGAGCAGCTCAGCAATAATTTTATTACCAGTAATATAATATATTTCTAAATAAATAATTAGTAATTACATATCAGCAGGAGTGCCCAGAAGGCGGTTTCATTGAGCCATCAAAATTTTTGAGGGGGGCACATTTCGGCAGGATCATGAATTTTCGGAATGGAAAGTTTTAAACTAAGGACAAGATAAAAACAGGGAACATTGTAAAAACTGCTGTAAGTGTAATTGTATATGACCAACGATCGTTTAAATTACTTTCGTTTGCACTGCTATTAAGAAGAGGAGAGAAATAAAATTTCTTGCAAAGGGAAGGAGGAGGAAGATTCTTGTGCCATCGACCTTGGGGGAGGGAAGGAGGATGGGCACCCTGCACATCACTGAGTCATTTTAAGTTTGATATTAAGATGAGTAACTTTATATGCTAAACAATTTAACTATGGGTTTTTTTTTTGTTTTTTTTTTTTTCAAATCAGATTATGACCAAATCTAAGTTTGGACTAAAAATTTTGTATATATAAATTGTCCATGATGAAGAAAGGCCAAGAGCCCATAATAATGATAAATTGAAAATAAAAAAGTATAATTATTAACGGAAGATAAACCATAACCTTCCTCTCCATTTTCATTGCCTCAACAATTATTTATATTGTAAGGTCTATAATTTTTCGTTTGAGAATAAAATATTCGGAAGAAGCCATTCCCTGAAAGACGGTAATCCTTCAAAATTAGCTTGTTTGGTATCCGCGAGTTTTGTTTATCAGTGATTACAAAAACTCGATATAGTTCCACATTTGCAAATTCCATATTTGATGATTCGTGATCGTAGTACATATTGTAATCGTATACATAAAGAAATCGTAGTACATACTGAACATGGATATATAATTATAATAGGTATGTTTTCACTCGTAAAATGGACCTAACAAAAAATACATTGGAAAATTCAATTGTATTTGTTTGTTCGGTGTTAACGAGACCAATATTTTCCATGAGTCAGAATAAAACGAATTTAAGAAAGAATATAAAAATATCAGTGGAGTTTACACAACTTTGATGTTTAAGGAGGAAATCGAGACCACCACGAGCTGGTTAAAATTCAAACAAAAGAAACACAATATAGCCTAAAATTGCATAACCTCATAAATTGTATTAATCTAACCTCTCATTTCATATGATCAAGGCCTTCAATTTTCCACGCTCATTATAATCTTAACAGTCTTAATCTTAATTTATTTATATTAATTTTAATTATTAAATGAAATATTAGACAATTTCTACACTATTCTTCAAATTTCCTCCAAGTTTATGTCAAATCGAATGAGCCGTTTCTAAACTTTATTTTTGGGTTTAGCGTGGATGTTCTTATATTAATATTTGAACTTTTAATTGGATCGAGTATTCCATATTGCGAGCAATTCTATTCCGAATATGTTGGCTACATCTGTGATCATTTAAGGCATTTACCGATTCTAAAAATACCCGATGCCGTCACACAGCATCATAGTTTTTATAGAGAGGCAATTAACCTGTAAAACACTCAACTGCCACATGGTTAGATCACGCTGGATAATGATTAGCGTGCCTGCAACCGATTGTTATAATAACATAACTTAGATCCAGCAAGCAGTGGCTTACTTTGGTTTTGGGTTATAATTTAAAACATATAGTGCCCAAAAATACTACATGTATGCTTCTTTGCGATTGCCATTGATTGAAAGATTGTATGGGAAAGATCCATGAAAATCATTAGCCTCTTCAAATGCTATTAGAGGTCTGGTTGGACAATTAGAAATTCGATAAGGAAATTACTGAAATTGTATAACCTATACTTAAAAATTTAGAACATGATTGATAATGACATTGTTAAGATGGTAAACAACTGATGCAATGTCATAGGATTCGATTAATGATATTTGGTGATAAATAATTAAGAGGAAAAAGAATAGTTTAATGGTGAAGAGGCACACTTAGTTTATCCTGTTATCAGTGTCTGAAAAAATGAATTTGGTCTGGTATTTTATTAGTATCATTAAGAAACTGTTAATGAACTTGATTTTAGATGACGAAATATGACATTTACGCGGAAACTGTACCGTGGGACGTTTTTCGATTCCTTGACTCACTGTAACCAAAAGGCAGGGATCTATGACAAAGAAACTTCGCAGGATTCCTTTTTTGACCTAAGCGAAGTAAGTCTAAAAATTAGAGCGAAATTTGTTAGACATATTAGGAGTCAATAACGGACAAAGTACTTCATATGTATACGTAAGGGTTGAGTTAATTGAAAATAATAATTTGCATGTCCTACCAGTTAAATTAATTCGTTTACCAAATTGGCATTGTATTAGGAAATGAAAAAAATACTCTAATTAAAATACTAGTTTAGCAAAATGAAAAGTCGGATCTTTATCATGATTGAAAATTAATATGCGAAATTTGCATTATCGAGAATTTCCCATTTTTTTTAGACAGTTCACACATATTATGAATAATAATGATAAAAATAATATATTAAAAACATAATAAAAGAAGTTTTTTTTTTTTTTTTTTTTTTTTTTTTTTTTTTTTTTTTTTTTCCTACCCCCCAGGAATTTCTTGAATAAATTCAGTGTGTATATAAATGTATATATACATAAATTTTCAACTTTCCTTTTATTGCCTAAGGGCATTTTAAGTTAAGAGGGCTCTGCACGCTGTATGCGTTCTTTGCATCTGTGGCCAGAGGCCTTTGAAAAGAAGTTATAACATTATAATGTGATTTTTAATTGCGATTATCAATCGATGTAACGAGAGTTTCCCACGTTAACGAATTGTTGGTCACAAATTACAAGTTTTATTCAATTGTGAACATGTGTGTGTATGTGAACAGTCTAACTCGAAAACGAAAAGTATAACTGGTGATTTAAAAAAATAACTGGTGATTTTTTCTTACAGCAACGATCAAAAATAGTTTAAGAACAACACAAACTTAAATAGGAAATCACGTAATAATAATTTCGAATGAACAATAATAACATGCTTCTGGAGAATTATTTACATATTAACACATCATTGATGGTATCTCTTGTAACAGTAAATTTAAACTAATTTTTTTTTAAATATAACAGCAAAATATAGAAATAACGACCTCGCTATGCATAATTGTTCATTAGAATTTTAACTGGGGAAAAAATAGTTGTAATAGCATTAGATCATTACATTATTGGAAATTTCCTTTTTAAGAATTATCATTTTAGATTAATATATTCATCAATATTGTGCATAGCATTCCATTATATCTGGCTGGCATGTGTATTGTTATGTTATTCTATGACGGAAAAAATGTAACTGGACTAAAAGAATCTATTAAAACAATACAATCACAATGAAAATTTTGAAAGATTGGCTCTTAAGAGGCTAAAGATTTACAATATGTTAACATTATATAATTAAGACTATATTAAGAATAGCTTTCAGTAAACTAGTCTTTAAAAAAAATATTATTTTTTCATATATATCTCGGGTACGAAAACAAGCCTAAAATACTAAAATTAAATATACTGGCAAGTTGGAAAATGTCCAATTATTCCTTCTTGTGAAAAAAGCTTTAGCTTGGCACGGTTTATTTTCTAGTGCATGCGAATAAGAAATTTGCAAATATAAATCAATAATATAAAAAACATAACCAAAAAACAACTGAACAAATCTTACATCATAAGTGGTAAAAGAGCTCAGATTATGTAATTAACTAAACAACGATTGCATTTTTTTATTATTATTATTAATAATTGACTGTCGAATAAGAAAGTTAAAAAATAATTAGAAATGAGAATATGGCGTTTTCAATGGAATCACTCGTATGAAAAATGTATCCTTAGAAAGCTAAAGATTTTAGAAAAATTAATATCTAATATTGATATATTTAACTATTGAACAGATCCTTTACCTGTGACTTCATCGGTACTTAGGTCTTATTTGGAATCCCCATGAAAGATTGAATTGACAAGAAAGTGCTCGAGTTTCGGGCTACATCAAAATTTATTAGAAAAACCGCCCTCAACTTCCAATTCATTCCTGTAATAGCATCAGGGATGCACATTACCTTCCCCTAAGGTCGATGGCACATGAATCTCCCTCTACCCTAATTTATTTGCATTCTTCTTTAAAACATCGCAAGCTAAAGTAGAATTAGAAAACTGTAGACCCTATATAATTACACTTGCTGTGTTCTGGTCCATTTTTTTCTTTTGTTGTACCCTGATTTAATAATTAAACTTCGTGGAAAAGTGCCCACCGTCAAAAATCCCGTCATATTTTTGATGGCGCAACTTGTGCCATGAAATCCCAATCTGTAATAAACATAAATCATTAATGTTCCATAAATTGTTTATTTCGTCTGAACCAGATTACCTAACCATAATAAACTCCACACCCACTAATTTATAACGTGGCTTTCTTTTGTTTTCGCTAATCCTCAAAGATGTCCTCTGGACTATCTCTGGCCTCTAACCATTATTAGAGTGATAACAATGGTTTAAAGTTTATTTTAACAACTCATGATAAAAAGTACATTTCTTAACAAATCATTTTCAAATGCAACTTTCTTATTAGACAGAAAGTAAACGGAAATTTGGAAACCAAACTAATGTAAAAACGGCCCAGTATCAATGTTATGAAATTTCCACCCGCTACTTTAGCTTATGCCTGCGAAACCTATTTTCCATGACACTATACGATTTTCTTTTAGATTTTATTCCCAAACGAAATATCATAGACCTTGAAGTAATTATGCAGGTAATAGAAATGGTAAGGATGATATACTGACCATGTTTGGCTAACGTATTTTTACTTTTAATATAGTTATAAATTAAAATTATTAATTACGATTCATTTTTACACAATAAAAAATATTGGAAAACAATTTTTCGTTGAAAAAAGATCTTTTATAGATATTATAAAATTATCTACCCTTACCATTCCAAAGGTATTGGCAACACCGATGACGGAGAGTACGGAAGATGCCTGGGTCTCTGTATAGCCATGAGCGGACATCAGCGGTGCGAGGTAGAAGTAGGGGATGATGAACCACGTAAATAGGAGAATGGTCGATATCGAATTGAGTAGGAAGTGGAGCTCACAGAAGAGAGAGAAATCCATCATGGTTTCCAACAGCTCTGCCAGTTCCTCTCTCCAGCCCTGCAACAAAACAAACAATTAGCTTATAGACCAAAAAGTAGATACCAAAACCTGTGTTCTATATGCTACTGGCCCCGTATGAACGGATGCATTTGTTAAATAAATTAAATAAAAAGTAGATATTACGTCCCTATGTCTGGCCAATCCATTTTTACTCTCATTCACCTCATGGAATATATAGAAATAAACCATCACTAAAAAAGTTGTATAGAAAAAAGTTCAGGATCCAAAATTGATTATAAACATTCCTATCATACAGAAACTTGTTCAAAATAACAGTTAAAATTGCATTCCAAGACAATATATTTTAGTAAGTATTATTTTTCACTTTGAAACTAAATATTTCAATGTCGTGAAGCTAGTCTAATTTATAGCCTGAGCTTGAACAATAAATCAATTAATGGAGGCACAAACGCTTTGTGTTGGAAGGGCACTCACCAATTAGTGCTAATTTCGTGCTTGAAAACAAATTAAACAGTTCTCTATTGACGAGCGGTTATTAACGACAATAGTTTCGTCACACAACAAACAAATCTAATTGCTAACATCAACCATCATGTTCACTCGAGTACATTCTAATATCAAGTCAGCTATAATTAATTAATTAATTAATGTGAGGACATTATTAGAGACAGATTAAGAATTTCCTCAACTTGTTTTAATCCCCACATAAATTATTTCACGAAATCGGTTTTGTATCGAATCCTATCATGGGGTACCATTGAATTCATAATTTCAGGGTTAGTTAACGAATGATACTCCACTTTTTATTTTTAATTCTAAAATAAATAAAGTCAATATAAACATTTCGCTAGGACTGGAACAATGGTACGTCGGTGGGTCGATACGGAACAAATTGAGATCTGAAAATGTTCATTCGACCGTTCCGGGTCCCGCGTTTTAAAATAAAAAAAAGAATCATTTATGTATTTAGATAATGTAAGATAAAGGATTTGCAACACAGGCTCAAGTTAAAAGTAGTTTTGCTATTGAATACATATCTCATCTCGTCAACTAAATTCTAAATTTTTGTTGGTACACAATATCTTCGTCGATTCTTCATCAAATCCAAGGATTGTGCCATAATTAAAAAAAAATCCTTGTATATTTTGAAAAACAGTCTTATCACTCCGAAATTTCAAGAAAAAAGGTTATAAAAGAAATGAATCTTTATTTACGATTACTAGCACTTGTGGGGGGAAATAATCCTGCAAGTGGGCTCTATAGTGGTTTTTTTTTGTGAACCCCTGACTGCTACCTTGAGGTTGTCGCCGCATACTAATCAGAGTGGGAATGTCATGATCCATTTCTTGAGGCCACTGAGAAATAAAAACTAACCGACTCGAGATGAGAATCGAACCCACGATGTTCGGAACCGGGCACTCTGAGACCCACGCCCCAACTTATTTGGCCATTCCGTCTCCTATTTAATTTACGAATTGCTCAAACAGTATACATTTTATGTTTGACTGCACCAATAATTATTTGAATGTTTCCTAAACTCTTTACCAAAAAAAAAAAAACTATCAACACAGAAATTGGACCATGATTAGCAAAGTTTTAATTTTAATTTTTTAATATGTTAGTTGCCTATTCATCCCTTTTTTCCCAGTCTGCTGGTGTTCCTCAAGGTAGTATCCTAGGTCCTATCCTCTATACAGTTTTTACAGCTGACATCCCTACCTGTCCCAACACTGTCATCACCACATATGCCGATGACACATGTATCCTATCAGTAAACAATGACCCAGCAATTGCATCCCAAATGCTTCAATCACACATCATAAATCTAGAAGAATGGTGTCAAAACTGGAGAATTAAAATAAACTCCAATAAATCCCACCACATTACCTTTACCCTTCGTCGTAAACCAACGACTTCCTGTGCTACAGTTTCCTTTAACAATACTCCACTTATCCCTGTTGAGCAAATCCGATACCTAGGACTCCACCTGGACAAACGACTAACTTGGAATCCTCATACTAGACTGAAACGACAAGAAACCGCTCGACGTTTCCGTTTACTTCAGCACTTACTAGACAAACGCTCTAAACTTCCCATTAATTACAAAAGACTTATATACTTGACTATAATAAGACCTATTTGGACTTACGGAGTTGAGCTATGGGGCTCCACTAAACCATCGAATTCCTCTCGCATCCAATCCTTACAATCCAAAATCCTTCGTAAAATCCTCAATGCTCCTTACTTTGTCACTAATAAAATTATCCATAAAGATCTTAATGTTCCTTATGTTTCAGATTTGGCCCAATCCAGATACCTATCCTTCCATAATAAACTTCAGAAACATCCCAATCCTCTCGTTTCTAACCTTGCTTCCTCTTCAATTCCTGATAACCCTCCGAGGCGTCTGAAAAGAAGATGGCCCCGTGATCTCCTAATGTAGTCATATCATTAGAGTGCTACCATTGGGTAGTTACTCAGCAAGTGTATTCATGTCATTATATCAATTATGTCCAAATTTACTTGATGTATTTATGTAATACAGTTGTAAATGTCATAAAGAAATAAAAAAAAATAATAATAATATGTTAGTTAAAATCATAAATGGAGTTTTAAAATTATTTTTTTCCTTGGTCGATTAAATATCGATTATCGAAGTCTTATAGATAACATATGAATCGATTCCTTCATCCTATGATACGTTGCATTATTTTATTTCCTTGTTATTTAGTCATTTGTTCACTTAGACTATGCGAATAAATGAGAGTCTCACTCACATTATTTACAAAATTTCATGATATATAGAGAGAAATCTGTAATTTAACTACCAGAAGAAAAGACCATCCGGGAATCCCAATACCAGATTGGTGAGACCATATTTAATCGACCTACAGCAGACCCTTATCAACTTTGGGAGGACAGTCAGACGTTTCGGCTTAGTTCTATATGAAGGTAAAACTAAATACATACAGGTTAGTTGGTAAAGAAAACAGGGCTGAATATTTTGAAGCTGGTTACAAATTTCAAGGAGTAGAGAGTTTTGACTCTTTGCGATCTGAATTAAAATCAATTAATTGGATTGTTTGTTTGTTTCGATGTCTAGGCGCAAAACATCTAGGTCTTTAGCACCAGATCAACTAAATAATACTGGCTTTATATTGTATAGGTGGTTGTTACAAAAAATAAAAAAAGAGGATAAAAAAAATTAATAAAATAAAATAAATAAGTAAATAAAGATAATAATAAAAAACTAAAGATAATAAGATTAAATAGATAAATAAATAAACTTAAAAGAAAAATAAATAGCAACAAAATCAATAAATGAACTTATAAAATTAAAAAATCTGCAAAAGATCATTATTAATAACCTTGTCATATATGTTCATAAGACTTTCATTGTGTAGGAACATCACAACTTTAGTAATGATTTCTGATTCCTGGTTTCCAGAGGTTGCTGATATATTCTGGGACTTTTAAAAAAGTCCTTGCGGTGTAAAAAGGGCACTCTTTTGTTATCTGCAGATAAGTTCTTTTGTTATGAGGGGGAGGTGTGTCAGCTGTTCCACGGTCGTACCTCTTTCTTTATTGTATTTAATTTGCTAGGTGCGCTGTTGACCCACCGTCTCTACCGTTCTTGGGATACAGTTTCTCTAAGAGGTCGTGCAAGTTCAGATGGTGTCAAAAAAGCGTTACCGCGGCCTGGAAGGGTGACAAAATCTCATTTCGTTTCCTTTAACGCCTATATGGCTAGGCGACCAGACAAAATTTGCCGTTGCTCCAGCTTCATGAAGCATTTTGCAATTAATGATCTCAGCTAGGAGATATCGTCGGTACCATGTTAAAGTAGCGAATGTACAACGTTAAGCGAGCTAACATTCGTTACTTTAACATAGTGCCCACGATATGTAGAAGAATAGAAAACAGATGTTTTCGTCTCTGCCAGCACATGAGAAACAAATTTATCTCCCGTCAGATCAAATTAAGGCTCTATAAGCCACTCATCTGGTCTGTCCTAACATATGGAGCAGATACTTGGTCCTCAAAGAAAGCATATTTGAAAAGAATATTTTGAGTAGGATTCACGGTTATTCTTGAGGTAGGTACACTAATAAAGAGCTCTTCGAGCGGTACAATTGAGTTTTTACGCTTAGGAGGCACCGTTGGGACGGCCACACGTGACGTTACCACGGTAATAATTAAAAATATGGAGATACCGAACAAAGGTCCTACATCGAATCCGCAAAATTGGAAGAACTAAAGAGAGATAACTAGATGGAGTGGTAGCTTAGAGCTAGTGCTTCTTGATATACGAATTTGGGCAATTGCTGTACAATATAAAACATGCTAATAGAGGCTGCTAGGGGAGACCCACATTCAATAATAGATTGTTGCACCATCAAGCAGTGCACAAAATAAAAAATATAGACATAATAAATTATTTTTTCCATTACTTTATTTTTTATTTATTTATAACTTATACGTTGAACAAAAATAGCTTAATTAGTTTATATTAATATCATATTACAGATCTGTACTCAGTAAATGACAAACGAGGTTCAGAAGAAGGGTCATTTCAAGGAGAAATGATAAATTTCAACTTCAATTCCCAAATATTATAATTTTAATAAAAATTATTGTAAAAATTTAGGTGGTTTCAAATTTCAGAGTGAGGTAAGTTAACGTATTAAAAATCCTGTTTTAATGATTTCGACGTGAATATTAGAATCGATTCCTATGAAAGAATCGTCCTCTCATGCGATTCACGCGAAAGAATCACGATTCACTAGGTCCGGTCGAATCATTCGGAAACGGTCGATTTACTGTCAATTTTCAATTCTTGATAATCAAAGAAGAGGCAGTCAGGTTTGGAATCGACTCTAGAATAACGCTCTCTCAGTTCGTCACTGATTCCCAACCGGTTGATACTAGAAAATCTTTCAGTCATGTTCCATTTTTTGCTTGGTTGTTTCTTTTAGTCGAAATCAACTATTCCATGATTATTTCGGACCTGTGTGACCCATGCTTATTTACAATAG